TGGGAGGTCCGTGGAATGAAGTGAAAGAAGTTGGCGCAGGGCTTGGAACGGCTGGATTATTTTGTGGAGTTTGTGAGATGCATACCAGTGGACGAAGAACGTAACTGATGATTTGCAGATAGACTACCTTTGAAGACAGCAAAACAGACGGTATTACTGGGAGGACTGATAGGAGCAGTGGTGAAAGTTTTGGATTCGGCAAAACAGCGGCTTATGAAATTGAAGACGCCAGTCGACGGAGAATAGATACTCCACATAGTGAGAATAGTACTCGGGCTGCTCCACTTTGATTAGAACTTTGTAAATTAACCACCACCAACATCTCTAACATTTTTTGAAATGCTGAAATTCTGGCCAACGTCTCCTGCACCGATAGACCAGCTTACACCTAGAGTCGACGCCGGAGGCCATGAACGAAATCCTTTTGATGATCTTCCACAATCACCAAGCATTGGAGCTTATCATCCACTATTGACACCTACCAGAATCAGCAGTGCTCATTCTCCTTTCATTCCACCCTCTGCATATAAAGAGGTCGAATTAACTCCAGGGCCGCACGGACCACCAACACAAACTGGCGCCCACGCCTCTTTTGCGGCTTCACTTCCGACTACCAGCTTGTCTCTTCATGCTCCAGATTTCAACATGCAGTTACCGCCGCCTCCCGCCAGAGATAAATCCCGTCCGTCTCCAAACAAGTCCTCAGCGACATCGTCATCGGCCACCCAGGCATCTCCAATGATTACGTCTTCTGCTCCGAAAGAGGCCTCGACACCTATCTCCAGAGGACAGATTCATGTCAAGCTTATCCAGGCCAGAGGTCTTAATGTCCGGTCGTTGGCTGCCCAGCCCTACGTCGTCGTCCAATTTGAACAGAACGAATTTGTTTCCCGCAATCCGACCGATGAAACCGACAAGGAGGTCAAGGGCACCGCGACTAATCTATCTTTATCTCGACCATCGTCATCTAATGCCATCAACGCTTTGGCTGCTGTAGATGCTGCTGTGAAACGGAGAAGCGGCGGAAGCAGTGGGAGCAAGGATAACTCGCCTGTATCTAGTGTTGGTTCAAAAACGTCTGCTCTAAATGGTGGCCTCTTCGGAAGGCTTCCTGCTCATAATCCAGTTTGGAAACATGAGGTATCCTTGTGAGTATTACATATTCTATCTTCAGGTTCATTCATTTGACACCGTTTCGCAGCGATGTCACCAACTCGAACTCTCTGATTACTTTCAATGTATACGACCGTGCTGTAGAAGACCAGGGATTCCTGGGCACACTTCAGATCAAGCCGATCCTGGTTCATGATCATACTGTCGATCAGTGGTACAAGTGAGTTCCCATACTTTTGCAACTCTTTTCTCTTGTAGCCGAATCTCTGTCGCATGTTCCCACTGGGACCAGCGTGCAACACAACCGATGTATAGTCACGGATCTAAAATTTTCCCTTGATATTCGATCGTTTTTTGTATGATCTCGAAATGGTCTACTGACTGATAGATCACACCAGACTCAAGCCATTCGAAAACGACACCAATGAGCCTGTCACTGGAGAAATGCGTGTCCAGATTACGTTTGAGCAATACAAGGTGGGTGTAAATTCGTCGTTCATATCATCGTTCATTTTTTCTTTTTCATTTTTCTATCCTTCCGGTCTTGGTTCTGGTACCGGGCATGAGTCGGGCGCGATGCGCCTAGATCATGCGCATGCGATGTTTCTCACTGTGGACATTTGGCACCCTGTTTAATCGGTGTATCATCGACATTGACATCCCACGTTCTTCGTCTCATCCTACCAAATCCAACCGGTACCTGCGTCCAGATATCTGTGCATTGCTCGATATCCGGATTTCGTCAGTGTACACTATTCCCGCATATCCCTTCTCTACCCAGTGCCCACTGCGTTATGATTGTTCACATGCGGACGCACCCCTGAACTGATCCCCCAATCCTATTGACACTATACGAAATCCCTCATTCTGGGGAAACTAGTCTGTGAATCTTGGGGATGCTCGGCCAATGGACATGGGACGCTGTATTCCGTATAGGCCGCGGCCGCAAATTACGCATATCCGACAGCCTACTTGCGGTTTGGCGACCACCGTTTATAAAACCCCGCATAGTTACCCCACACATCGGCGCAACGCGCAACACACATCAAGATCCTTAGTCGTGATGGCGTTCCATACATTTACTCGTATTCCAGCGCCAATAGCTCATCCACTATATCTCGATTTCTAATAAGCCCATTCTGTGGAGTTGGAAATCTTTATTTCGCCTGATTCAGACCAACGCCAACCTTGGGACGGATGGTGAATCTGGTCTTGTTCAAGCTTTGAAAGGTACTGCCTGCATGGGGGAATGGGACGGGAGGATTTGTTGTTGTATCCATCGACGTCAGCGGGCGTTAGTTTCTTTTGATGATTCGTCATTGCCAATTCGAGCTCCCACCATTTTCTTTTGCAAAATTTTTCCTTCTATCTTCTCAACTCGTTGGAACATTTCGCTGATTATTTTTCTTTCCTCCCATTCCACTAATCTTCATCTTCTATGTCAATGACAACCGTGGAATCCCCTGCGTTTGCGTCCCGGGTCTTTACTCGTCCGCCCGCACCGTCCTTTCCCTACCTCCTTTTTCTTGGAAAAACCTCACAACACCACGATTTTAAACCATGCACTCAATATATCCGCCCTCATCCTGTCAACGTTCCATACTCCTTTCAGACCAAACGTGCCCTAACCCCGCGCGATTTTGAATTCCTCAAGCTCATAGGTAGGGGTACTTTCGGCAAAGTGTTCCAAGTGCGAAAACGCGACACCAAACGAATTTACGCTATGAAGGTTCTTTCCAAAAAAGAAATTGTGGCGAAAAAGGAAGTCGCGCACACTATTGGAGAACGACAAATTCTTCAGCGGTCGTTAGAGTCGCCATTCCTTGTGGGCTTGAAATTCAGTTTCCAGACGGAGCATGACCTTTATCTGGTTACCGACTTCAAGAGCGGAGGGGAGTTATTCTGGCATTTACAAAGGGAGACGAGATTTTCGGAGGAACGAGCAAGATTTTATGTGGCGGAGTTGATACTGGCATTGGAACATCTGCACAAATACGACATAGTTTATCGAGACCTCAAGCCAGAGAATATTCTTCTCGATGCAACCGGCCATGTCGCACTTTGCGACTTTGGCTTATCCAAAGCCAATTTACGTGCAGACGAGTTGACGACGACATTTTGTGGAACAACAGAGTACCTCGCACCCGAGATACTCTTAGACGAGCACGGGTATTCTAAGATAGTCGATTTTTGGAGCTTGGGAGTGCTTCTATTTGAGATGTGTTGTGGATGGAGTCCTTTCTACGCAGAGGATACGCAGCAGATGTATAAGAACATTTGTTTTGGGAAGATTAGGTTTCCTAAAGGTGTTATAAATGAGGATGGGAAGCAGTTCGTCAAAGAAGTGAGTATTGTGTATTTTAATGATATTCAACTGACGTTGGTCGGTTTAGCTCCTAAACAGGAATCCCAAAAAACGCCTGGGCGCTTCCCGTGATGCTGCAGAGTTGAAAGAGCATCCATTCTTCAAATCGATTGATTTTAACCTCCTTGCGCAGAAGAAGGTTACTCCTCCGTTCAAGCCCGTCGTCGAGTCAGACGAGTCCACGTCGAATTTTGATCCTGAGTTCACGGAGAAGAGCATAGCCGATGTCGGTCTCAACGAGGATGATTACGCCGATTTCGCTGAGGACGATCCTTCGGAAAGTTGGGTTTCCCAGAGCCTCGGTGCAAGCAGCTTTCTTCCTGGAGGTCATGTGCACAACGGACCTCTTGGCAGCGAGAAAACAGGGAAGACGCCGCCAATGACGCCTATATCACCGATGACAACCATGACAACATTACTGAATGGCACGGCGCATACCACCCACAAGGCAACGAAACATAAATCTTCAAGAAGTGGGGGTGGATTATCTCGGAATGGAAGTAGCGCTTCAACCAAGTCAAATCGATCATCGAAGTCATCACTCAACCGGGTCGCGAACGGAATCGATATTCATGCCAATGGGCGACAACATAAGAAACAGCGACAACCCGCAGGTACACCTCTGACTAATAGTGTACAGGAGAACTTTCGTGGATTCACATACAGCGGTGGAGAATCGGTGTCGTCGCATGCGGATATATTCACATCTCGGAAGGTCGAAGACGACGATAATGATGAGGATTATGTGGATGTGGATGAGGAACCCGAAGGCGGGACAGAGGACGAGTTCGAGGATTTTGGGAAGAGTGCAGGGAGATATGCCAATTTGAGGAAGAAGGGGATGGGATTTACTGACTTGGATGACCTGAGTTAATACTCGTCGCCCCTCGGTCTGAGGTGAAATGTACACGGAATGGGGTAGTATCCTAAGCTGGTGATGCGTTAATTGGATTTTGCTAATGATCCATTGGGTTTCAATTTATTGATATATGGTTTCATTCAAGTCGTATGTGGACGTTCGGAAGGTTGCATTATATCTATCTCTTAGCTCTCAATTTTTTCTTAGTACACTTTCTGCAGAATGCGTGTCGAGGTGGGGGACCATCAAGCTGCTGCTTTTATTGCTGTGCCTTTTGTACTATTGTATTATTTAGCGAAGATGAGCCAGGCAACCTCTTCAAAATGTACCATGCAATTAATTAACTAGGCTCCACTGTTGTGGACCACACCTTGCTTGGTAAATATTGTAGATCTAAAATGCAGCCTGCACAGCGCATGCCGCGAGTGGGTACAGGGCCTCCATATGTTCTGAATCTCATGTAGATGGAGAATGGGCGAGTTGTTGTGGAACCTTCAAAATAAAACAAGTTCAAAGTGTGCCTGCACATCAAAAATGTTCAATTCCGGGGTAGAATAGACCTTGCAAGCAAGGTGATTAATCTTTTGCAAAACTTTTGACTGCTGGTAGTTGATTTCATGGCAAACATGGAAAATTTAAAAAATTACCAGGCAGCAAAAGACATTCCGACACGGGGAATCGAACCCCGGGCTATCGCGATAATGATAAGAGTCATTTGAGAGGCGATAATGTTAGCCACTACACCACATCGGACCATAAATAGATCAGTGGTCTTTATCACTACCTGGTTGCAATATTCAAAAATCGCATGGCAAAAACCTAAGTAGCATGTATGTATGTACTCATATATAATAATGTACATTCAACAGCGACATGATTAATTTCCGGGTGACCTTGACCGGCTATCTCTGATATCATCCCGACTGCCTTTACTCCGACTACGGCTCCGACTATATCTGGAGTAAGAAGAATATGACATCGACCGGGACCTTGACCGAGATTTTGTCCTTGACCTCGAACGAGAGTACGAGCGGGATCTACTGGACCGGACAGAGTAGCTCCTCGACCTGCTTCTAGATTTCGAGCGAGAACGAGAGATCGAGCGACCTCTGCGGCCATATCCACCTCTTGAGTAGCTAGGAGATCTCCTTCTCGGGCCTAACCCGCCCCTCCTTGTAGGTGAGCGAGAACGAGAAGCTCCGTTCATACGCCCTCTACGCGGGGGACCCCCACGTCCACGACGGCCAAAGCCTCTTCCTCTGAATCCCGGACCATCATCTTTGCGACGGTATCGACCTGGCGGCGACCTGGACCGTGAAGTAGATGGAGAACGAGAGAATGATCTATTTCTGGCTCTGTCACGACCGTTGCGACGAGGGGGAGGTCTCGGCGAACGTGACCGGGATGAACGGGAACGAGGAGAACGAGAACGGACGGGGAGATCGGAGAGCTCGACTTTTAGGATAGCTCCGTCGAGCTGTCCGCCATTCATATGAGAAGCAGCAATATGTGCTTCCGAAGATTGGGAGAATTCGAGGGCGGCTTTTCCTCGATTTTGACCGGCTAGAAATGTGTGGTAAGTGTGAGAATCGTTCCAAAATGAACAAGAGATAGTGACACTCACATTTAGTGAAAAGTGGTAGATCAAGTTTTACGATTTGGCCGTAAAAACCAAATACAGTACGAAGGTGCGACTCGACGACGTTTCGCGTCAAATTGTTGATTATGACAACCTTGGCGTCTGGCAAGTCGTTTTCTTTCCCTTTGTCCATGTCAACATCGGTGGTGGAGTTCTGCGGCAAACGAGGGGAAGTTGAACGACCTCTTTCAGACATGGTATGAGATAGCGTTTGTAAAAGTAACTGTCACGCAATGGAGGGGTGACTTCTGTCACGATTTGTCACTCTCCGTAGTAACACTGCGGAATCAGGCGGAATCTGTCAAGACTCAATTCGATTTAGCCCACTCTGCCGATAGCTAACTATCGAGCCTCAAAACTATGTAAATACACCTTTGACTCTTGACAAAGCCCACGGACTACCAGCAGTGTAAAAGTCCATCGGATAGTGGTCATTCTCCTGCTTACCGAATCCTTCAGCTCCTAAAGTCTTAGTTTCCACTCCAGAATCAAACCACTCCGTGTTCTTCCCTGAACCCATCGCCACCGCGCATTCATACGGGCTCAACAACGGACGCTCAAACGCGTACCCCCAGTCGATGGAAAGTCGGGGGCAAGAAGTCTGGATAAAGGTAGATATTCGAGGATGATTGGTCGATGGTAGTTTAGAGTATTGTTGGAGTCCGTGCGAGTGTGTATCAATGGTAGAGGAAGATAGACTTCGACCGGCGTTGAAAAGTGCCAGCTTTGCAGGGGAAAGTTCGGAGAGAAGGATAGGCATGTAGGGAATAGGTATACGAGACTCTTGTAGTTGATTTGTTATCGCCTGAGATTATTTCAATATAGGCAGCACGCGTCGGACGAAAGACGGAAAGAATTCTACCTGTAGTTGCCTGAAACTTCCTTGCCTCCCAAGAGTACCAAGTATCAATCCCCAAAGAGGTGTATCTGCTTCTTCTTCCTCAATAGGCGCAGGATCTGCCGTCCCTTTCAATAATTCAACAGTCTTAATCCAACCAATACTTTTCCTTGCGCCCTCTATTGCGTCTCTTCTCACTGATCTCATCTCTTTGTGGCCATACCGCTCACGAGTAAGCTTTTTTGAATATGGATCATACCTGAACGCTGGCACTGATGGATTGGCTATCATGATAGCTTCAAGGTGAAAGCGTCCATCACCTAAGTAGCTGAAAGAAGTCATTAGGAAAGACATGTAAATGTATATAATGAAGTAGCTTACACGATCGCGTCGACCTCTTCGCCCAGCTTTGGTGCAGTACATCCTAGAATTTCACCAGGTGATAAAGGTTTAGATCGAGGAATAGTTGTTTCATAAGAGGAAGTCCATAGAGGAGTAGCAGAAGTCGAAGAAGGAATGTATGGGTCACTTAAGTCCTCCTTTAGTCGTTGCAGAGCAGCGACAAACTGAATTGTGGACACTAATGCTAGCCTAGTCGGATTCAAATCCTTCTTTTCAGCAAGTACCACAGCTACTTCACGGTCCTCTTCCTCTACAGACTTATGCGGTGAAGCTTCGATCCTTAGTCCTGGGCCAGCAATAGGTATTCTCTCTCCAGCTTGAATTTCCTGTTCGCCTCCTTCTCCCATGCCAATGGTCATTAGGGCATCGTGAAATGCATCGCGATCACTGGGCAAGTTGGCGCGAATTGTCTGGTGTACGTGGACTGAATCGATACCGATCTCGACAAACACATACAAAGTCTTGATTTCTTGAGTGAAATTCGAAGGAACGAGGCAGGAGTGTCCGTAGTGTATAAGCATATCACAGCCTAGAGCGAGTGCAGTGTAATCATCAACACAACAAGCTCCATAAGTTACATCTCCCATTATCGTTGTCAATGCTGGTGTGAATCTATATGAGATCCAGTCATTGGAAATGTTGAACGTCAAGGTGAATAGTCAACTACCTCTCGATGATATCGGCAATCGCACACGCAAACATTTGCAATCCTTCAGGCATCTGCAAAGCTACCATCTTACTCCCATTCTTTCGCACATGATGGATGGTTTTGTGGATCTCGAAGCTGTAGTTTCTAGGGAGGACCTGCTCGATGATCGCGTTCAGCTGGGGGTCTTCGAGGATCTCTGCCGGGATTTGATTTCGTAGAACAGAGTTGGAAGAATTGGAGGACGTCGGTTTAGAGGATTTTGAGCCAATGAAGCGACGGCGAGGTTTGCTGGCGTCCTTTTTGGAAGTTGGCGCGGATACGGAGGGGTCTTGTTCGATGGACATCATGAAGATGAACGAGAAGTGAGATTTATCATATACAATGACATAGCTTTATTTGCATGTTCCACTACTACAGTATAGATTTGAGATTTGTACATTTCCTACGGTGTATACACATTATCGAGCTTATACCGGTCTGCGAGAATCTTGAAGCCTTGTTCATTGGAACAACAGATTTGATCAGTGTACAATGTTCCTTCGACCTGCAATCCGACTACTTTCACGCTGTTGTCATCGGGTACTGAAGCATTACTGTATGAACTTCATTCATAAACCGTGTGGGTTTCGGGGCTCGGTAGGCATTTTCGGTGGGTGCGAGTTGATGAGAGCGGTTCAAGTTGGGTCAGGGAAAATCGATATCGGATTGATTCCGGGAGATTGCTGCTACGGCGGCAAGGCACCCACCACAGCTTCAATGGGCCACCTCGTGGACCCCCAAAACGTACGGACTAAAGAACTATACCAGCTTAGGCGTACGAACTTGGTCTATGCTGGTTATGAATAACAGCTGGAGTACTGAATGAATTTGCGAAGGAAGTCCGGGCGATGCAGGACTACGCGCAACCTTACTTTTCTGGTTCCACGAATTCTTAACCGCCCTTCTTTTTCTCGAGGATTGAAAGAGCTCCATCGCCCTAGTGGTTCCCGTGGACAATGGTATCTTTGTATAGAGCAATGTCCTGGAGTGACAAGGTCATAGATACCATGACCGCCAATACACTATCCGATGTGGCTGCTTCAACTCAGAGAAGCTCAGAGATGTCTTACGAGAGATGCATGTCTTCCGCCCAAAAATACTTAGGTTCTGTTACTAATGGGCTGTATCGCAATTGTTTCTTCCCCACTCGCGTCCTTTCATACCGGTACCATCCGTCCACCTTCTAAGTTATCGGTTTATATCATATTCTTCTCTATTTTTGCATAGAAACCTATATGAACGACTCACCATCTTGCCTGCCTCTCAACACCCCCTTACGATTCGCTCATGCTGATCTGCATCCTCAGGATATCATCGTCGACGAAGCCACAGGAACTATCACCGGTATAAGCGATTGGGCCACTGTCGTATGCACAACCCTCTTGTCTTATCTCCCGGGAGGAGAATATCTTGAACCTGTTTTTTTCCACGGGAGCGACAAACTGTAATAGTCTTTGTTACTAAAACACAATTATTGACCAGTTTTTGTTGTCAATTCTCGTCTTCCATTTGTTCGCAGCTGATTCCAGTGTTGATTACCTGTGGATAAAGATTGCACCCCTTGTTGTAAGGCAGCTATTCATATGTGCCAGTGCCTCTCCCTGTTGCTTTAGGATTATGCAACTCGGTCTGTAAAGGCATATGTGAGCTTATATGCAACTCATCGGAGCAACATCATGATGAACATCTCTAAAGTAAACGAAGCTAAAGGTGGTGAGGGAACCGTGATGGCTCAACTCGGTCAAGACTTAGTGAGTGTTCTGATCAACTGCTACGAGGATTGTTGATTTATGAGGCTGGTATCGTCGAAGGAATCATCGAGCAACTAGCCATATAAAGTCCTTTCTTACGCGTGAAGAGGAATCCTGTGGCAAATGGATTGAGTAAATATTGGAGATGCTAATGAACGGGAACAACCATCGAGACGCGACGGAATTCCCAGGATCAGAGAGAGGTCAATCAAGAGGTGATAACAGTAGCGCATAATCATGAGATTAGATTGTGGAGAAGATGCATGTGGGAAGACGCTTTGGGCGCTTCAAGTTTAGTCTGTGTCTACCATTTACATGTCGGACCCTCCTCAACGATGTGGGATGCGGGATACTTGCGGAAGCAAGAGTATATTTGGTAAACAGCTTCCTTGTCCTTATGATGGTCCACCGAAAGAGGTCTGTATCTCCTCATTG